CAGAATAGCAGTGGATACAGCACAAAGAGCCAGGAAAAAATTGTTGGGGGGGGGAGGGGGGAAAGACTGCCCCTTTAAGAAATGCGTTTAAAGGCTTTTTGGCCACATCAGGCTCCCGCTGGCCACCACTATCTTGAAGATGCCATTTTGATTGGCTGCGCCAGAGGGATCCCCTGCCCCGATAAGCACAGGGAGCCGTTTTCAGGGGCGGCTTTGTGAGCCATACTTTTGGGGGGGGGGAAGAGCCGCATGCTCTAGGGCGTGGTGGGGAGCCTACAGCCCATGGGCCAGATCTAACACCTGGTTTCCTTTGATCCAGCCAGCAAGAGAGTCTTGGGGCTCCCTTCCTCCCTCACAGCAGAGCAAGCCGGTGCTAATGCTCCAGCACCTAAGCAAGTCTCTCTACCTTGGCATCTTCCCCCCCGCCATAGGGTTCACTGCCTTCATACCCCTGAGCATGCTTAGCCTGCTGCATGAGCAACCAGACCCTTTCTGCCCCCTAAGTAACCACACAGCATATGAGGGAAACTGAGGAAAGCACTGACTTCGTCCGGGTGGGGGCTGGCTGGGCCAGGCTGCCGGTTAGCCAGTTATTGGGTAAGCATGCCAGTAAGGCTAATTCTAACCAGTTAACCAGTTATCTTTTTACGAACCTACAACGATTTAGACAACGGGACAGAGAGCACAATTATTAAGTCTGCAGATGATACCAAGCTGGGAGCGGTGGCAAGTTCTTTAGAGGAGAGTGTCCTAATTCAAAATCATCTGGACAAACTGGAGAAATGGTCTGAGGTCAATAGGATAATATTCAACAGGAACAAATGCAAAGTGCTGCACTTAGGAAGGAACAATCCATGTCACGCATACAGAATGGGAAGCGACTGTCTAGGAAGGAGTCCGGCAGAAAGGGATCTAGGGGTCAGAGTGGACCACACGCTAAATATGAGCCAACAGTGTGCTGCTTTTGCAAAAAAAGCAAACCTGATTCTGGGCTGCATGAACAGGAGTGTTGTGAGCAAGACACGAGAAGTCATTCTTCCGCTTTGCTCTGTGCTGATTAGGCCTGTTGGAGTCTTGTGTCCAATTCTGGGTGCCGCTTTTCAGGGAAGATGTGGAGAAATCAGAAAAAGTCCAAAGAAGAGCCACAAAAATGATGAAAGGTCTAGAAAACATGAGCTGTGAGGGAAGACGGAAAGAACCGGGCTTGTTTAGTTTGGAAAAGAGAAGACTGAGAGGAGACATGAGAGCAGCTTCCAAGTACATAAAAGGGTGTTACAAGGAGGAGGGGAAAAAATTGTTCTCCTTGGCCACTGTTGATAGAACAAGAAGCAATGGGCTTAAACTGCAGCAAGGGAAGTTTAGGTTGGACATTAGGTAAAACTTCCTACCTGTCAGGGGGGTTAAACACTGGAAAAAATTGCCTGGGGGCGTGTGGAATCTCCATCTCTGGAGATATTTAAGAGCAGGTTAGATAGACATCTACGAGGGATGATCTAGCTGGTGCTTGGTCCTGCTGTGAGGGCAGGGGACTGGACTTGATGACCTCTCGAGGTCCCTTCCAGTTCCAGGATTCTAATGATATTTCAGAATATTCCCTTTGTTGCCTTTTTTTAACCCTTTCCCTTTATTTTTAGTAGTTTACATTTAACACGGAACTGTTGAAGCAAAAGCCTCACTCGGTTTACGCGGCTAAACAGACAGTTTTATTGGCCAATAAAAGCAAAGTGAGCCAAATGTGGTCCCAGCAGAGCTGGGTCCAGTGAGACTGGCTAATACAATCAATCCTAGTATCTTTATACCCTTGACCAAACAGCCTGACATCAGGGCATCCAATTACAGAAGTCATCAATTAAGCTAGGAAAAATAAAGCCTTGTCAACAAGATGAGGGACAGATACGAGGGAGTACCTCTCCTGTCTAAACCAGCCCAATTATCTGAGGAAGTGGGTCTGGCCCACGAAAGCTCATCATCTAATAAACCATCTTGTTAGTCTTTAAAGTGCTACATTGTCCTGCATTTTGCTTCAGCCCAATTAACACATTCCAATAGCACATCTGTCTTGGCCTGGCACATGGGGTGATAGAAAGTTCACTCTAGCCTACGTGCAAAGGCAAAAAAGCCGAAATGGTTTCTGTTATACAAGATGGCTTCTAGCTAAACATAAAATGGTTTCTACAGAACTATACGGTATTTGCGCACCCCCTCTTATTCAAGATTATAGCTGCAAGATTACATGCTTCCAGTTCCCAAGGAATTCATGGTTGACCATTTACAAGATCAACTGCACTATACAGTTGAACCTCAGAGCTCCAAACTGTTTTTTTAGCAGATTTCATATGGTCTAGTGGTTAGGGTTCCTGGCTTTCACTCAAACAGTCTGGGTTCAACGCCTGCTATGGGAATAGCGTGCCTTTTTATCCTGTCCCAAACCTCTGCTTGTCAAAAGGGAGGGTTCATGCGATGATGCCCCGTTTTGTGTGTTCCCTCTGGGGCACCTGGAATTGGCCAGTCGGCAGACAGGACACAGGGCTAGGTGGACCATTGATCTGACCCAGTCTGGCCGTTCTTATGTCTGGGTTCTCACTCTGTCCCAGCAGGTGACAGGACAGCAAGTGAAAACGGGGAGAAGCCCCAGCAGGAAGATGCTGACCCAGGAGAGCCCCGTGGGATGTTCTCAGGGAGCTGCAAAGGGGACATTTGCCGTGGTTGGCCAGAGTGGAAAGCCTGTGAGTATCAACACAGAGCAGAGACAGCCGCCAGGAGCCACTCACACCTCAGACACGGTAGAAATTCCTGCGGGCGAGACGCCCTACGCATGGGCTGAGTGTAGGAAAAGCTTTACCCAGAGCTCTTCCCTTATTAGACACCACAGAATCCACACAGGGGAAACGGCCTGCGCCGAATGCGGGAAACGGTTTAGCGAGAAATCATCTCTGATCACCCACAGGAGAACCCACACCGGTGAGACGCCCTATGCCTGTGCCGAGTGTGGGAAATGCTTCCGGCGGAGCTCCAGCCTTCGCACCCATTGGAGGATCCACACGGGAGAGATGCCCTACATGTGCGCCAAGTGCGGGAAAAGCTTCACCCACAGCTCGACTCTGACCACCCACTGGAGGATCCACACCGGAGAGACCTCGTATACCTGTGCCGAGTTTGGGAAACATTTCCGGCAGAGCTCCAACCTGATATCGCATCAGAGAATCCATATGGGAGAGACCCGCTGAACAGGCGCTGAACGTGGGAAAATCGTCAGTCACCGGTCACCCTTTATTAGACAATGGAGAACCCCCACGTGCGAGAGCCCTCCCTCTCCATGCGCACTCCTAGTGTGGGGAAAAACTTCAGTCAGCGCTCTTCACTTATTAGATAGTAGAGAATCCACACAGGAGAGACACCCCAAAGGTCATCCAGGGGTATGCAGTAGAGTTCCCCCTACTGTTTTTTTCTCCTATCCATGGGTGGAATAAATTTTGTTCTGTGCACCAACACATATGCAGATGTGCACCATTCATAGAAACAATGCTGCTGGTTGTGAGCAGCTATGGGTGCTCTGCTAATCAGCTAGGCAGAGTTTGATTCTGTCCTGGATGGCCAGCCAAGCACACAGGTTACAGGGAACACGGGTACACAGATCTTCCCAAAGGTACATAATCTCATTTAGAGATTCACCTCGTTTTACAGTAGGCGACATAAAAAGCACTAGAAAAGGCACAATCAACTACAAATGTCATACAATAACTTGTTTGTACCGCTCAATACACTATACACAGAAATGTAAGTACAATATTTATAGGCAAGCGGGATTTATTTTGTAATGATATGGTACAAATGAGAACGTAAGTTAATTTTTCTCTAATAGTGGGCCGGGACCCTTTTTGTATTTTTGTCTGATTTTTGTAAGCAAATCAGTTCTAGGTGTGCTGAAATTTGGGGGCAGGCAAGACAAATCAGACTCCTGAACGGGCCCTCGTCTACACTAGGGAGTTATTTCAAAATAACCCCCCTTATTTGGAAATAATAAGCGGAGCGTCCACATTACCAAGCCTGTTATTTCAAAATCTGTTCTCCTGCTTTTCTGGGGGAATACGCTTGTTTTGAAATAGTTCTTTCGGGAGTTATTATTTCAAATGTAGTTACTTTGATACAATTCCCTAGTGAAGACATGCCCAAGGGGATGTGGCCTGGAAAGGTGGAGAGCCACTGACCTGTACAGACCATACGTCTGGGAAAGCTTTCCTGAGATCCGTCTCTGTTCTGGGGAGGGCCAGAAAACGTTGAGATTTTACTATTGGGTGCTAAGGAAAAAGCTCTGAGATGGTTTAAATCGAGGTGGGAACCTCAAGCCCGGGGGCACAAAATCTACCAGCTTAGGACGCCTAGACTCTGGTGTGCAAGGGGAATGTGGGGAGTGTCATTTTCCTTCTCAGGCTATGTCTACACTACAGAGTTTTTTCAGGAAAACAGCTGTTTTTCCGAAAAACTTCACTTAGGTCCACACTGCAATCGCGTCCTTTTGAAAAAAAAATCGAAAGAACAAAAGGAGTTTTCCAACATTGGTAAACTTCTTTCTACGAGGAAGAAGCCTTTTTCCGAAAGAGCTCTTTCGGAAAAAGGCGTGTGTGGATGAGGAAGAGGGAGTTCTTTCAAAAGAAGAGGAAAGAGGAAAAAGCACAGGTGCCCTCGTGGCTACTCCATCCATAATACTCACAGCTTATATGCGAGATAGCATCCGATCAATGTGAACACTCTCTTTCGAAAAATCAGATCGCTTTTTCGATGCGCTTTGGCAGTGTGAGCGCTCTCTTTCGGAAGACGTTTTTTCAGAAGATCTCTTCCGGAAAAGCTCCTTCCAGAAGAAGCTTTCAGTCTCGACGTAGCCTGAGTCAAGGGCATCTCATTTTGCTTCTCACTTGTGTGCAGCCCCCAATTGATTTTTCTGTGGGTCAGCAGCCCCCGACTCCAAAAAGTTTCCCCGCCCCTGGTTTAAATGCGAGCACTAATCTGGTTTCATTTTTGAGATATTCAGACAGCTGGAGCTGGATTGTAACGCCTGACAAGAATCCACCAATTGGGGTGTATAACGAAACCCACAAGCCGCTTTTAGATTTTATGGGGCTTGAATTTTCTCCTGTAGCACCTGGTGACTTGACTTCACGGACACCTTCACTCCAAAGCAATCACATTGTTCACCCTTCGATGGACTGATCTGATCTTAAACTTTATGCCAGTATAACTTAGCCCTTAGTTTGTTGTGTCGTGCGTGTGGCAGATTAGCCTTTGTGATGTGCGCGCGTGCCTTGATTTGTTCAAAATGTTCATAAAATGTGTAAAAGCAATTGCGAGTCCGGTTTCTTTGAATAAGCAATATGCTCCCGTCTGGCTTACCATGGGGATTGTGCGGGGTCAGGCCTGACAGAGGCTTGGGGGAGGGCAGCTTTGAAATGGAGATGAAAGGCTTGCACGTTTCAGCCATGATGGGGTCAGAAGAGTAAATGCTGGAAACTTCAGGGACACAGGATGCGGAGGCAGAGCAGGCAGGGAGGGGGGCAAATTGAAAGAGGCACAGGGAACCGTATGAATGTGTCTCCTGGTTAGAAAATGGCTAAAACACAGGCCCCACAAGCAGCACTCAGCCCTGCACAGAGAACTGTTAAGGGCAGCACCTTAACCTCTCAGCCATCACAGCTGTGAGGCGAGAGAATCCCACCCTGGGCCAATGTCTCCCTGGCTACATCTACACGTGGCAAAAAATATGCTAAGGAGGGACTCATTTGCATGAGTCAGTCTCATTTGCATATTTTCCGCCAATCCGTTTTTGCCCTAGGGGTTTTTGCACAAAAACAAGCAGTGTGGACGTGTGCAAAAGCCCAGCGCAAAAATGGATTTGCAGAAAATATGCAAATGAGATTGCGACTCATGCAAATGAGTCCCTCATTAGCATATTTTTGGCCGAGAAAACTCGTAGCGTAGACGCAACCCCTATGCCGTGGGCGCTGCGTTGGTTGTTCCAGAGAACCTCACGCCGGGCTATTGTGACTATTTCCTAGTTTCACCAGCATCAGCCTGGGCAGCTATGGTGGCCTAGTGGTTAAGGTGCTGGCCTTGCAGTCCTCTGGGGGTTTCTGCTGTGCAGTTTTGAACTTTGCTTACTGTGTGGCCTGCGCTGACTCCGCTTTCTAACCACCTCCATGCCAGTCTGCGAGGCTTGGAGTCGGCTCTGCACCTTCCATCCTGATGCCTAGGACCTGGTAGCCACTGCTGAGTTGGCAGGGCAGGAATATACCCCAGGCCTGCACGCTCTGGGAGAGCGATTGGAGACCTCAGAGTGCTGGAAATCTAGTGCCCATCTATGAAAAGGGCCAGTTTTCCAGAAAAATTTGCCAGCTGTCTACACTGGTCGCTTGAATTTCCACAAAAGCACTGACTTCCTACAGTAAGAAATCAGGGCTTCTTGCGGAAATACTATGCTGGTGAGAGAGGTGGCTCAGCAGGGGCAGGGTCCAGGTGCAGACAGGCTGCAAATAGCTTCCTCCCTCAGCAGAGGAATGGAGACTCTTCCCCCTGCCGGCGCTGTGCAGGGCTTTGACACATGCAGGGCTGGGACCCTCCTGGCCTGTGCCCCCGCCAAAGGGCTAGGGATTTTCCTGGGGGCCAGGCCAGCCAGAGGCAGCAGGGGAGGGGAGAAAGACCCAGCCGGCAGGCCCCTCTGTGCCCTAGTGGGGGAGTCCCTCCCTTTCCCCAAGGCCTGTGTAAACGGGCCCTGGTGGGTTCTCATTCCTGGTGGAACAGCGCCATCGTGGGGCCGGTTTGTGTCACACCCGGGAATCAAGCAAAGCGGGGGCCCCCCCCCCCCCCCCCCATCCGTAATTTTCCTCCCAGAGACACGGGGGGAAGGGGAGGAGGAGGGGGCAGGTTAATTCTGGGGCAGATCTGGAAGGAGAATGGAAAATTTTTCAAGATTATTAATATATTGTGTTGTGTAACAGAAGCACCCCAGAACCCAGTCCCCCTGTGCCCGGGGCACCAGGTGTGGGCAGGCAGGCTCAGCGAGGCAGGATCCTAATGTGGAGGGCCGCAGGGTGTCGGATCCAGCTGTGGGGTGAGAGGGTTCGGTGTGGGGCAATCTAGGTGTGTGTGTGGGGGGGTCTGGATGCACAGGTGC